ACTTTAGTCATTCATATGGTCAGCTGTTATATCAGGATTTATGGGGGGGGGGGGGCGGCGGGAAGTAAACACTTTGGTCATTCATATGGTCAGGATTTACGTGGTGGGGGTGGGGGGTGGGGGGGTGAAAGTGAACTTTGGTCATTCATATGGTCAGTTGTTATATCAGAATTTAGGGGGGGGGGGGGGTAAAAGTAAACTTTAGTTATTCATATGGTCAGCTGTTATGAGCAACCCATCTTTTATATTAGGGAAATAAATATTTCAATCTACTGAAATAAAATTCAGAAACTTTACGTAGGGTGATTAAAGGGTTAACATAAAGAGACCGGTTAGGTTGAATACAGGGTTAACACATACATTTCACGTAGGTTGATTAAAGGGTTAAAATAGAAATATATCGCGTTGGTTTATCAGAGGATTAAGCATTTAGAAGCACTTTTATTATCCAATGTAAACAGAAAAAAAAAACCGGTTATAACTTCGATTGTGCGACGGCTTCGGTTACCCAAGTATTATTTGATTAACTATCACTCCTCTAATCCATCTTTCAGTAATTGGCGATATTGTCAGGCGATCTCGCATTTTGTTAAATAATTATCATAAGTCATGTAATTAGTCAAATCAAGACAGGTGTTAAGACAAATGATCAAGTCTTCGTATAATTGATAGGTGACCATTATGACGAACATAGTCGACAGATAATTTATATTAGTCCCGTGTGGAACCATTATTACTAACAGTGTTTCTTCCAGACTTTTTTTTCCGGGGAGGGGAGGGGGGGTAGAGACACTTGAAATTTTTTTTGGGGTGGGGGGTGGACTAAAATATGTCCGGGAGGGGGGGGGGGGGCGGACACTGTTAAAAGTATTTATTTTCTATATTAATTCCATTTTGTTCCTAGGGGGGGGGGGGAGTGGGGGGCGGTAGACTTTCCGAAGATATGTCTGGAAGAAACTCTGATTACGAATTACGAACGAAGAAGAGTGTGGAGCCATATGACGAACGTAGTCGACAGATATTTATATCATTCCCCATCTGGAATCGCTAGGAATTTGTTCTTGTAAGCTGTGAATTGGCCCTGGAGAATCCCCTTATTGGAAGCTACCTAGGAACTAATCAGCCACCTCAAGCCTCATCCCTATGGCCGGGATTTCCAGTTTCATCAGAATTTATTAATTTATTATTGTAATTACCAACTCAGGTGATTTGTATTCGGGGACCGGCGAGATTTTAATACCGCCCTTACTTCGATTGCAACAATATTTAATCAACTTTTACAGCCGGCCTAGCGGTGTCAATCAATGGCCTGCAATCACTACTGTAATTGCCGGAAATTTCCGGTCGTATTAGTACAGGGCTGTTGTACAGTACAAGGCTGACCGGCATGTTTCGGCACTTTCTGCTACGTTAGGCTTAACATAAAGGTTAATGTGAATGTGGCGCATGAAGCCGTTGTTGCTGGTTTAATGGCCGCGAGGGATGGCGTCGTTAGCCGGATGCCGGCAGGTTGTTGTTGTGTTTGTAAACTTAAGCTGGAGGTTAGGGTTGGGGTTAGTGCAGGGGCGACATCCGTTGAAGGTGTAAAAGATAATACGTCGCACTTTGATACCCGGGTGTGCTTTTGTACAGGTGAGCTGTGGACATCAATGCTGAGTTTCTGTAGGGGTGGGTTGGTCATTAATGTCATTTTGCTCTATCGGTGGGTTGGTCATTAATGGTCTACCACTTTATAATTGTTTTTTTTATTAATGCCCTACCACTATATATGTAACATATCCTGAATGCCCTCCTAAAATCATAGAGTGATGTCTTAACTCAGTGTTAAACTGGTTTAACGTCTCATGTTATCGCGCTTTATTTCACATTTGAACAACCCCTTCACCGAAGTCAATACACGTCTCCGTATGTTTAGAGGACACGCATACCTCACCAGTACACCCGGAAGTCTCCAGTTCAAATCCAGGTTCACTACCGTAGAGCGTCCCTGAGTCCATCCAGCTCTGATCGGTACCCGACTTACGTTAGGGAAAGTAAAATCGGCCGGGTACAGTGCGAACCTCACTTCTTCATATGCCGAGGTCACAGAAACAAGTGAACTCTACTTCACTTAGGGGAACTTTACTTTTACACACATCCACACCAACTTGGTACATTTCCAGTATACACATTCGCATCAACGTGTACACACATACCTCTCAAGTACACATTTCCACATCAACTTGTACACATACACCTCGCCAGTACTCACACACCAACATACAGGCTCCTACTTCACAAAAAAAGTGTGCATGAGGTAATGCCATCACCGCCTGTATCAAAGCATGTCTGATCCCCATATTCATCACGTATGATATTTCTCAATTTATCGTGTGCACGGCTGATCCGTTTATACCTAAAATAGAGATAAACCCCTGATCTCGGGACGACCAGAATTTCTCGTTAATCCGTTTTAAATCTGATTACCGGTGCATCTTTTATCTCTTCATCCTATAATGGCACATTTGACGAAATGTCGATCATTTAGTGCCGTTTATCTACAGCCCAGAAAAATGTCCCTCTGGTTGAGCAAAACGTCGATAGATATAAATTTCCAGCTTATCGAAATGTGTCTACGATAAAAATTAAATGCCAAAAAAAAAACGTGCACCAAATTAAAAATATCCGGCTTAGTAACCGTCCATCTAACTAACATATCCGATCTAAAACATTGTTAGGACCTGGCTCAATTTCAAATTACCAGTCCGATGTGAATATCAATTTCAACACTGTCTGTTTGATGTCAATATCCGACAAATTCATTCGCCTGATCTCACGGAAAAAAACGGCTAAATGAAATATCCGTCGTATACAAATTTCCGACCTTTCCGTGTAATGTTACATCAAAGTCACCTAGTAATGATATATCTACGTGAAGTTGTATTAGCTGGCCATTCATTCACTCACAAACACATACATAAATACACACACACACACACACACACATATATATATATATATATATATATATATATATATATATATATATATATATATATATATATATATATATATATATATATATATATATATATATATTTATATATATATATACAAATGTGTGTATGTATATATATATGATATAAATATAAATCTAAATATAAATATATATATATATATATATATGTATATATATATATATATATATATATATATATATATATATATATATATATATCTAATATATAAAGCTCAGTTCTGTATGTAATGCAAATGTTTGTCGCTGGTCTTGATGAATTTAAGTGTTAGAAAATTATCGTGCGCATATGTCTAAATTTATGAGCTAAAAAATTGCTATTGAAAGTGTTGGGAAATAATTTTCATTTTTCAAATTATAGTAACTATTGTCGGCATGTTCATTAAACACAAGTTTTAAAAATAATATCATCTTTTACAAAAATTCTAATTATGTCTTTATTTAGTCCTATAGCACTTACTTCCCTTTGATAAATTAGGGAAAACACAATTACTTCCCTTTATAAAACCATTGCATTAGTCGAAAATAATTTACTTTTTAATTACTTTGTTTTGGTGTTGGGAAAAAAAATAATTACATAATTAGCGGGGATTGATCAAGTGCAAATGTTGTAGGTATTTTACGGATAAGCTTGGAGTATTATAATTTTTCATTAAATTGAAACAGGCGCGTTCGTTTAAGTGAGTGCAAAAGACTATGAATAAGTTGGGGTACTATAGTCGTTCATTAAGCTAAAACAGGTGATTCCGCCCAGGGCGTTTATGTTCGCGTTAGTGTTTTCTTTGTGTTTAGGTGGGTTTGCGTTAGTGGTTGCGTTTTGATTTGGTTCGTTTTTGTTCTTTCTTTTTTCGCTTTTGTTTGTGTTTTTTTCTTTGGGTTTGTATTTGTGTTTTTGGTTGGTTTTGCGTTTGGATTTGGTTTATTTTCGTTTGCTTTTTCGTTTTTTTTTTGTTGGTATTGGTGTTTGTGGTTGGATTTGTTGTTAGGTTTTTGTTTTCGTTTGCTTTTTTGTTTGTTTTTTCTTTGTGTTTGTATTGGTGTTTGTGGTTGTGGTTGGGTTTGTTGTTAGGTTTTTGTTTTCGTTTGTATTTGTAATTGTGTTAGCGTTATGTTTGCGTTTTGTTGTTTTGGTTGGTTGTGGTTTGGGTGGGCAATGCCGGGTTTATGATGATTACTAAACACACAGGTAATGGTCTTTAACAGAAAGGTTTTTCACAGAAGCCAGAGCAGGGCCTGGCCGGGACGGCTAGTATATATATATATATATAGCAGGAGCGATCAGGAGTATCTATGGGTGTGTGTGGGTGTGTGTAGGTGTGGTAAAGTTTTCTGTACTCAGGCGACATGAAGACTGAGTTCAGCCATGTTGTCGCACCATCACGTGGTTACTGTTTGTTAAGTCCGTGACTGAGGCACATCGAGGTCGGACAATTAGGTCCCTCTAAGGCAATTAGGTTAATTGGAACCGGATGTAGGAAGCAAGTGGCTCTACAACTCCAATAAGAGAAGGTTTCCAGCAGGCTTTGGTTTGAATGCATGGGGCACTAACTAATCAGGTTAATCCTGCACCAATCTTTTAGCCACAGATTATCTTTAGATATAATCGCATTACATTTATTACCTCAGATTTACTGCAACGTTGGGATTATTTAATCGTTTAAAACAGATGATCCTAATAAAAGTCTAATGAGATGGAAAGTCAGCTGCATGATAAAAATAACATAGAACTGACCTACTTATCTAATACCACGTGATATCAAACCACCAATCAAATACTTGCATTTAAAAGCTAAATGTTATTCAATGAAATTACAGTAAAGAAAACTGTTTCATCACCTTATCAAAAACAAATTGGGATCACAATTTGAGCCGGGGATTAAAAACCCGAGCTTAGAAGATTAAGAACGAGAGAGGTTTTCATTTCCTCAATTCAACGAGCACAAATTTTGCCTTGATTTTGTTACCTATTTTTTTTTTCCTGCAGAGCCACATCGGGGATGAAATGAATGCTGGGAAGAAATGAACGCTGGGCTAAAAACGTATCTTCAATTACATCAATCGCTCATAGCGCCCCTGAAATCATTGTGAGCAGAGACACGCCCACTTCCTCGCACACCAGGTCCCGTCACCCAACAGAGCGACAACTCGAGACAGAAACAGACGACTCAGCAGACGTGTCGTCATACAACTGTCTTTTGTCACGCTCACTCCAGAGTCGATGTCTAAGGAACCGGAAGTTGTAGAAAACAACGACATTACCAGATCTGAATGACGTCATTGATGGGCAGACGATTGAATGCTGTTTGTTAACTCCGAAATTACATTTTTTTGGATTTTATCCACGGAATTTTCTTGATTAAGTATATCGACCATGAATGGGTCGAACCTAATCTCCACAACCGGACCGTTGGTGCTGGGAACCGCGGATGTGACGTCATCGGCAGACGTGAGCTGCCGCTACAGGAATGGGTACTTGACTCCTCAGAGGTACAACCTCATCTCATGTGCTCAATGCTACATCTACATCTACAGCACCCTTTCAGCCAGCTTCAACCTCACGTAAGTACTCACGTCCCTGTACACACGTCCCTGTACACAAGTTTGCTATACACGTCCCTGTACACACGTCTCTAGTATACACGTCTCTTGTACACACATTTCATTTACACAAGTTTGTTATTCACAATTTTCTTGTAGACCTACATAGCTCTCTTGTACAAAATTTTCTTGTACACAAATTTCAAACACATTCGTTTTGTTGTGCACTCTATTTTTTTTACACATTTTTAGTGTGCAAATGCTTGTACACAAATCTCTTTTATACAGCCCACGTGTACTCAAGTATATATTCGCTGTATCTGATACTTGTCTAAAAATAGCCCACATCTAGAACAGCTTCATCAACGTGCCACCAGATGTGACACAAGAATTTTAAATCTATTTTTGTCTCATTGACACAGACATTTGTCTACGCTAATACAAACATGGACCGGACATAGACACACGACACATCTGTCTACGTTAATACAAACATTGACCGGACATTGATACAAAAGTCTATAAACATTCGTTTTGTAATATTTTAAATTTGTGTCCAATTAAACTTGGATGTATAACAAAACTAATTTCATAAATCCACATTTCTTGTCCGTGTACATGGATATCTGTCAAGTTTTTAACCGTTCCCCCTCCCACACAAGACAATGATAACAGTAAGAAACCTAGAGGGATGTACGTTCTACTTGTACACGGAATTGGTCGATTTCAGATGTGATTTGAAAGATTTATTTGCAGTAATAGATGGATGGGTGGTTGGATTAATCAATGGTTTAATTTTGTTAAGGATGGCTGAATAAAGATTTTATTGCATTAATAAGTTGTTAAGTAAATAGTTCAACAAACGGTTGTATACTGGATTAATTCAATGTTAAATGATGGATTATTAAATAAATGGTCCCTTGAATGGACGTTTTAGTTGAATGATTGAATGAATGGATCCTCCATGGATGTATGGTGGAATGAATGGTTCTGTCGGTGGTTCCACGGATGGATAAAAACCAGATAGATTAACCAGACACAGACCCTGTGAGACCAATGGTGACCAACTGAGACCATGTGAGACCAATGGTGACCAACTGAGACCATGTGAGACCAATGGTGACCAACTGAGACCATGTGAGACCAATGGTGACCAACAGAGACCGAGACCAATGGTGACCAACATAGACCCTGTGAGACCAATGGTGACCAACTGAGACCCTGTGAGACCAATGGTGACCAAGTGAAACCATGTGAGACCAATGGTGACCAACTGAGACCATGTGAGACCAATGGCCAGAGACCATGTGAGACCAATGGTGACCAACTGAGACCATGTGAGACCAATGGTGACCAACTGAGATCATGTGAGACCAATGGTGACCAATAGAGACCATGTGAGACCGATGGCCAGAGACCATGTGAGACCGATGGCCAGAGACCATGTGAGACCGATGGCCAGAGACCATGTGAGACCGATGGCCAGAGACCATGTGAGACCGATGGTGACCAACTGAGACCATGTGAGACCGATGGCCAGAGACCATGTGAGACCAATGGTGACCACCATAGGCCGAGACCAACTTAAATGAGACGTAACTCAATTAACTTCACGAGCCGAACGGTCCCACAAGCATCAATCATTAATTAATGAGATCATAAATTTAATAAAAACTGTATCCATCTCTCTCCTACTGATGGGTTTCATAACGGGAAAAAAAATCCGCGGCTTTAACTTTATAGATATTCATCTTTCTGGTTTTTACTTAACATTTTAGAAAATTACTCTCTTTTTATACGCTGGTGGAGTGGGAATGGTGGGGGTAGGTTCAGTTTTTAAAAAGCAACATGGACACAAAGGGGGTGGGTGATTTAAAAAAAAAAGTATAGACACGGTCGGTGTGAGTGGTTGCATTGATAAAATAGATGGTAGTTTGGGAACTTGGAGGTTGGACATTGGTGAGTCGTCAGTCTAGGAGACTCGGGTATTTGCAGATAGCTTGTCACAAATTCAGATAACTTATTACAAGTTCAGATAACTTGTCAGGACAAATGATCTCAGACACAATACCCGAGACAAAATATCTCACTGACAAATGATCTCAGGACAAATGATCTCAGACACAATACCCGAGACAAAATATCTCACTGACAAATGATCTCAGGACAAATGATCTCAGGACAAAAATATCAGGACAAAATCTATGAGGCCAAAAGATACCATAGACAAATGCTACATGAGGTAGCGACATCAGCATCTCGTCCCAATCGTCGTCGTTTGATCTTGGTTAGGGTTAGGATTAGGATTAGGGTTAGTGCTGTGTCGTCAGGTTAAACGTGGGGTTAGCCGTCCTGTCTATGACACATGACACCAACTACCCAGTCCACTAGACTGACATCAGATACTGGCATTGTATGACATGACACACGGGCCAAGCCGAGCTGTAATGACCTGTTAGACGATAATCCACTGATCAGAGATGAGCACTACTCACGCTAAAGTACGCACGTGCGCAGGACGGGTTGGCCGCATCCGTTGTACGGGGGGGGGGGGGGCTCATTAATGTCTGGCGTTGTACCAGCTTGGCACGCCCATGGGAGTCGTCCACACCAGCTTGACATGCCCATGGGAGTGGTATTACGCCAGCTGTAGATCTCCATGGGAGTGATCTCACACTAGCTACAGACACCCATGGGAGGGATAGCGCGGTGGACCAAATGCCAGTTTGTTTTTATGTTTCGTGTAAACACATACTATTCTCAAATGTAAACAATGGGGAAATCACATGAAATAATCACATTCTATACAAACACATACGATTTTACTACCTTGAAACATACACAAAATCTATTCACTTTCCCGCATTCACTAGTTGGAGTAGCCTACATGTACTGAATTCACCAAAATCATCCAATTGACTAAGCTCACAAATACAGTGTGCGAAGGCGTGATCGGGTAATAGAGCATACGACTGCTAACCCGAAAGTCTCGAGTTCAAATCCTGGTTCGAATCGACAGAACGCCCCACAAAATCCGCCAAGTTTTGATGGGTAACTGACTCACGTTAAAGTATAGACAATGAGCATAGTGCTTACCAAACTATCCCTAATGTGCTGAGGTTTCTGAATCAGATGAACTCTACTACACCTACCCTTGGGAGTGTCAGATTCGAAAGGCACTTTTCATAACAATAAAGCAAGACAACATTATATAACGACATACGATATCACTACACATAATATCACAACACACTTACAAACACACACAACACGAGCACACAACACAGATTTTAGCACACACTTTTCAACACCATTGTCTTAACACACGGGCAGATCCTCCCCTACACCGTAGCGTCAGCACTACCAGTGAGTCATAGTAGAGTCAGCACTACCAGTGAGTCATAGTAGAGTCAGCACTACCAGTGAGTCATAGTAGAGTCAGCACTACCAGTGAGTCATAGTAGAGTCAGCACTACCAGTAAGTCATAGTAGAGTCAGCACTACCAGTGAGTCATAGTAGCGTCAGCACTACCAGTGAGTCATAGTAGCGTCAGCACTATCAGTGAGTCACAGTAGCGTCAGCACTATCAGTGAGTCACAGTAGCGTCAGCACTACCAGTGAGTCACAGTAGCGTCAGCACTATCAGTGAGTCACAGTAGCGTCAGCACTACCAGTGAGTCATAGTAGAGTCAGCACTATAGTGAGGCATAGTAGAGTCAGCACTACCAGTGAGTCACCAAAAGACAGACGTCTTGTGGCTCTAGCTTTCAAGCCCTTCACTCCAAACTTTTGACGTCCACATCTAGCGATAAAAATATTCAACGGGTTTTCCCGTGGACATAAAAATGTGATATCTAAGTTGGGATAACGCTCTGTGAGGAATTATTGTGGGAAATATTTGCAATTTTACACAAAGCGTCTCGGATCGTTTTTATATCGAGCGGATTTGTTTTTTTTAGCTAAATAAGAGATGTAAATTAAGCAGCGTTTCAAGAAAATGTGTATATATCTATATATTTATATATAGGCTAGCTATATATATATATATATATATATATATATAGGCTAACTATATATATATATATATACATACATATATATATATATATATATATATATATATATATATATATATATATATATATATATATATATATATATATATATATATATATATCTAATATATAAAGCTCAGTTCTGTAACGTGTGGCAAAAAAGTTTGTCGTTGACAGTTCTATGGATTTAAGTGTTAGATTTTTTATCGTACTCATAGTCTAAATGTACGAGTCAAAAAATTACCATTGAAAGTCTTTAAAAACAATTTTCATTCTATTTACTTAGAAGAATAATTTTCAATTATGAACGCGACATAAAATTTTTAAAAAGTGTATCGACGTTTATAAAATTTCTAAAATTGTGTCGGAAATGTATTGACTGCACAGTTACTTCCCTTTAATAAAAAAATTCTTAAGAAGAAAGAATTTACATTTTATTACTTTGTTTTTGGTGTTAAGAAAAAAAAAATAATTACATAATCAGCGGGGATTGATTAAGTGCAATGTCGTTAGGTATTTTTAACACTGCCTTTTATTTATTCTATACACTGAACATACTGTTCAATATTTTTTTTTTTTTAAATCAATAACATTTAATAAGCCAGGTCCTACAAATCCTATATGTTTATTTCTTTCCATTTACGGATAAGCTTGGAGTATTATCATTTTTGTTCACTAAATTGAAACAGGCGCGTCCGCCGGCGCCCTTGCACGGTTCGATTTGGCACCCTGGGCTATCATGTGAGCGCTATGCTGCATAGTTTTGTTTTTAACAGTGCGATAGACTATGGGTAAGAAAGGTTACTATAGTCTTTAAGTGAATCAAATCCGGGCGTCCTCCGGCACCCCGACAGGGTGCTATTTGGCGCCCCGGGCCTTCCGGTGTAAGCTATGGTATATACGTTCGCGTGAGTTCAAAAGACTATGAATAAGTTATGTACTATAGTCGTTTACTAAGTTCAATCAGGCGGTGACGTCATGGTGCGTCCTCTGGCGCCCAGACAGGATGCTATTTGGGGTCCCGGGCCTCCCGTGTTCGGTTTCGCGCCTACGTTCATTAAAGTGAGTGCAAAAGACTATGAATAAGTTGGGGTACTATAGTCGTTTATTAAGCTGAAACAGGCGATTCCGCCCCGGGCTAGACTCTGAGCACTGTGCGTTTATGTTCGCGTTAGTGTTTTCTTTGTGTTTAGGTTGGGTTTGCGTTAGTGGTTGCGTTTTGATTTGGTTCGTTTTTGTTCTTTCTTTTTTCGTTTTCGTTTGTGTTTTATTTTCTTTGCGTTTGTGTTTGTATTTGTGTTTGTGGTTGGTTTTGCGTTTGTATTTGGTTTGTTTTCGTTTGTTTTTTCGTTTGTGTTTTTTTCTTTGGGTTTGTGGTTGGTTTTGCATTTGGATTTGGTTTGTTTTCGTTTGCTTTTTGGTTTTTTTTTTCTTTGTGTTCGTATTGGTGTTTGTGGTTATGGTTGGGTTAGTTGTTAGGTTTTTGTTTTCGTTTGTATTTGTAATTGTGTTAGCGTTATGTTTGCGTTTTGTTGTTTTGGTTTTGGTTTGGGTGTGCAATGCCGGGTTTATGATGATTACTAAACACACAGGTAATGGTCTTTAACAGAAAGGTTTTTCACAGAAGCCAGAGCAGGGCCTGGCCGGGACGGCTAGTATATATATATATATTACGGTCAAAGCCCGAAGTGCGGCCAAAGCCCTCATTGCCCAGCCAATGTGCGCATTGGTCGCTATATATAGACAAATATTTATATAAAAATGTGACAAATGATGTCAGGAAAATGATATAAGACAAAATACCTACAGCAGATATTTGAATGTTCTTTTTCTTCTTCGTTCTTAATTTTTAGTGTTGGAAGGGATCGAGCCTTATCTGCCAGAGGGTTCGAACTCGAGACTTTTTCGAATTTATCAACCATGAGCTTTGCCGACTCGACCACGCCTCCAACACAATTAAGTATACTTGTTAACTGGTTATGCGCTATTGAAGCCATTGACTTCGATTTCAGCCTGCAGTTCTTTTTGGATTTGCTTCCATAGCCCCTGTCCAACCAAGAACAAACTATAAGGCAGCAGTTGTTTGATTTTGGAGTTGTAAAAGTACTTTTTAAATATATGTTATATTTGTTCTATATAGTCGGATTGCCCCCTCCCCCTTCCCCGAACTATATTTGAAAGAAGCAGCCCGAATCACAGAATAGACAATACATTGTAGACAAATACATACATGACATATCACCCGACTACATCGTCATGACGTTTTGTTTGGTCAAAATCGTGTGTATACGTCATCACTACATGTGTACGTTCCAGGTCCTTCGAGCTGGAGACTGGTCCAAAATCTGCCTACCTCCTGGGGACAACGATGGTGCCAGAGCTCAACAATACCGCCCAGGTGTGTGGCTCCCTGCACGAGCCTAGCACGTGCGAGCACTGGGTCACGTGCTGCAGCAAGGCCATCGACTGCTGCCAGGAGCAGCTCAAAGCTGGGCCAAGGCCATCACAGGTGACGTGCTGTTATGACGTAGTTGTATACAATTAGGTCACGGTTTGGTCTCTTGGAATGCTGGTTGGTTAGGCAAACTTATACGTCATCACACGATAACATGTAACACAAATACGTCATAACATCATGACATATAACACACATATGTCTTAACATATGACAAATAATACATACACCATATTCCAAGTTCTCACAAAGTCACGTGCATACGACCCCTATCTCTATCTTTTAAATGGACGTTTTTAAGCCTGCATTAACTATCTACTTAAAGCTTACATACATCTAATGGGGTACGGCAACTCTTTAGGGCTTTACTTTACATACAATTTAATACTTTCTGTAAATAAAATCATGATATTTAATTAACTTGAATTTAACCAGGTTGGTTTATATGTTGGTTTACATGTGCATACATAAGAAAACAGGAATACACAAGAGACTAGAGTCTATTCACACCATATCCCACAGCGGGGCTAATTACTCATTTATAAGAAAAATCAACTGATCATACCATGCACATACTCATATACATTTCAGTTTTAACACGGTATCTAATGGCATTCTATAGAAATCATTTCACGTATAGCATGCACGAGCTGGTTTAAAACTTGACATTTAGCATTGTAGATCGTATTTCAGTTCGAGAAACTCGTAGGGCAGGGATTTGTTTCTCTGGTCGACTGTGGGGCCTAGGGGAAGGGGAGGGTCACTAATTAATAGGGTGGGTTATGGGGTAACATAGGGTAAATTGTATGGTACGTTATGGGGTAACATAGGGTAAATTATATGGTATGTAATGGGGTAACAGGGCAAATTATATGGTACGTTATGAGGTAACAAAGGGTAAATTATATGGTACGTTTTGGGGTAATATAGGGTAACTAAAATGGGAAGATTACTGGGTTACTAATATGCAACAGGGTAGCTTATAAGGTAACGTATGGGGTAGCTTATAGGGTAGCTTATATGGTAACTAATAGTATAGATTATAAGGTAACTAATAGGGTAATTTATTGGTAACAGGGTAGCTCATAGGGTATCATCGGAAAATTTTTAAGCTAATATAGAGGGTATCATTGGTTAACTTGTAAGGTAACTTATAGGGTCAATTATAAGGGTAATTTATAGGGTAAATTATACGGGTAATTTATAGGGTTTCTTAAAGGGTAACTTAAAGGGCAGCTCGCAAAGTACATAAACTGTAGAATGTGATGACAAGTTAGGTAAAGTGCGAACCAGACGTCGTGAAATGCCCGCTCCTGGCATGAAATTAGAGAACTCCGCTAGACCAGGTCTTGGAGAATCACGGCTGGATCCCAGCTCGCACGGCTGGCCCGGGGGTGGGGGGGGGGGGGGGGGCAAGGGGCTTGACCTTTTACAGCATGGGATGTGGGGGTGGGGGAGGTCGTGACACCAGGGCTCCGGGCCGACACTGATTTGTAATTTACAACAGTCTTCCAATTCAATTGTCCGACCTTCGTGGTTTTCTTCCAATACATTTGTACTACATGACATAAATCTCCAGTCCCTTCTTACACAGATCTTCAATTACCTCACATAGATAAATCTCCCTTCTACATACAACTTCTATTTACGCACAGTTTCTATTTGCGTCTTACATTTAATTTAATTCCTACTCTTCCATACATACAAAAATACTTTTTGTTTTCTTTAAAGCATGTTAAATTAAGATGTGCAGATGTTAGATCTAATACAATATGGACACATGCAATGGAGGCAATAAAAACTTGTGACAGCATGTGGAGTAAGTTACTTACGTAGACTGACAACAAAAATGTGTTCATGTGTGATGTCGGTGATCTAACGAGTGCAGTTAGATGTGGACCACATTCAGCAACTTGACGTATGTCTGTAGGTCAGTGGCGTAGCCAGGAATTGGTCATAGGAGGGGCTCAAAAATTTTTCCATACGTACATAATCATATATATATATATATATATATATATATATATATATATATATATATATATATATATATATATATATATATATATATATATATATATATATAGGTGTCGGGGTCCATGCGAGGGGTAATAACACCCCCTAACCCCCCCTTTGCCTACGCCACTGCTGTAGGTTTATAAACACACATGTAGTAGATCTACACATGTCCAGCTCTAACCCCCCCTCCCCCCCCCCCTGTACCCACAGGTGTCAGGTCAGCCCGTCTGTCCACGGACCTGGGACGGTTTTTCCTGCTGGACAGACACACCGGCCGGTCAGCAACTGACCATCACGTGTCCTTCCTATGTGCCGGGTGTCTTTGATGGCGGTAAGTTGATGTTTACTGTCTTTGATGGCCGTAAGTTGATATTTACTGTCTTTGATGGCCGTAAGTTGATGTTTACTGTCTTTGATGGCCGTAAGTTGATATTTACTGTCTTTGATGGCCGTAAGTTGATATTTACTGTCTTTGATTGAAATCAACACATGATTCATGTATTAAGTATGTGAATCAGGTGTCATCGGTGTCATATGTCACCCCTAACTCAGTTCAGCCACACGCACATAGACAACACACATACACAATTTCTCACTTTGGACAATTACTTTAAGTCAATATAATTAATGAATTAATAACTTATGAGCTAAGAAACATTAGACACTGTAAAATGACAGTCATTTTGTTTTAAAGGTTGTATCAATCTATCAACCAATGTCACATTTGTTTTTTTTTCCCAATTCGAACAATTATATCGTGCCGTGCATTTTCTGTCATACAAGCGACTGCAACAATACCGTCAATACAACAACGACTACAACATTATACAGTACAAACAGCGTTAAAAAGTAGGACAAAATTGATGTACATTGCTCCACATACAACATACAAGTTAATACAATCCAGTCGCGTTGAATAAAATTTACATTTTTCTCTGTAGAAATTACTTCACTCATACAACTTTTAGGACAATAGTCGACTGTAAACATCCGGTTTGTCAACTCACGTCAGCGCCAGTAAAGTAGCAACTTGCTACTCCTACCATTGTAGTTATCTACTTTCTATAACATTTATGTTAATAGCCGCAGTGATCTACTCTTTATAGCTGTGTTCATCTTTACAGAAACGGTAATTTTTTTCTATTTTGATGCTAGTAAATAGTCACCATAACTTGTAATAGCACGTTTAGGAGATTGCCGATATCGAAATAAAAGTAGAGTACTTTAGCAGCTGAGATTAGGCGGATGAATCGTCGAGCGGATTGCTTTAGAACGGCGGTGGTTTATTGTTTGACTGTATTACTACGCTTAGAAAAACAGGACCACGTGGCGCTGGTAAACAAACGGGGAACTAGTCCCTAGAGGCGGACGTTTACGGCCGGCGATGATAAATTTCCTCGTGGGCTCTGGTTCTCGAGTCAAGGTCAAGGTGACGGGAAGTGTAGCTACAGATTTTCCAGCGCAGGCGCCGTAGCGGCTGTGGGGGATGAGGGGGGAGTCGTGGACTCTCCTGATTGGTGGGTAAACTCACGTGATCGGGAGAAAATTAATCATCGCGATGTTGCAGTAAACTATCACGGAGAAGTCGGTGGATGACATGGACACATGAGAGGGTAAAAGACAGGAAATCAGGGGCATTTAACCTAGATAAGCCAGCTCCTTTGTTATATATATATATATATATATATATATATATATATATATATATATATATATATATATATATATATATATATACAGAGAGAGAGAGAGAGAGAGAGAGAGTGTGTGTGTTTTTATATTTTTATATTTAAGCGTTGTATTTTCTGAGATTGTGTGTGAACAGAAGTTGCCTAAACAACAAAGATCCGTATTTGCATACAAACTGTATTCCCGCAGTAAAAAAAGCTAATGCTACTTCACAGTGTAGCTCTGATCATAGAGGTGTTTTCATCTGGAACAGCCCACGTTTAGTGGTCTATACATAAAAGACATTTAAAAAGCACGGTATTTATTTAAGTGGTCAGAGGTATTGTAGTTAACTCAAATGTCTTGCCAAATGGCCCCCATCAGAAGAGAAATTCGATATGTTGGCATGAAAAGTTTTCCAGGCTGAAATGGTTCCAGAAAATGTCCAGCTTATGTAAGACATTGATCTCTGTCAGATCTCTGCCGTACCGCTAATGGCGCTAATTTACTGCCCAGTGGTCAGATGTCATTGTCAGTCGTTAGTGCTAGACGTTGATGGCCTTAGTGCTTTAGATGGCCGTTAGTGCTTTAGATGGCCTTAGTGCTTTAGATCTCCGTTAGTGCTTTAGATCTCAGTTAGTGCTTTAGATGGCCGTTAGTGCTTTAGATGGCCTCTATGTTCTAGATGGCCTGTGTGCTTTAGGTGGCTTGGTTAGATTAAGTGGCCTGTTTTCTTTAGATCACCTATTAGCTGTCGGTGGCCTCTAAACTCCAGTTGGCCTCTATGTTCTAGGTGGCCTGTGAGCGGTCCGTGTATGCTTTTCTTCTGTCCAAGACTAGCTGTAAAACTTCCTGGACAGTGTCAATGACATTTGTGGACAACAACAACAACACATCAATAGAAATATTTAGAGAAGACAAACAACACAGCAATAGAAATATTTAGAGAAGACAAGCAACACATCAATAGAAATATTTAGAGAAGACAAACAACACATCAATAGAAATATTTAGAGAAGACAAACAACACAGCAATAGAAATATTTAGAGAAGACAAACAACACAGCAATAGAAATATTTAGAGAAGACAAACAACACAGCAATAGAAATATTTAGAGAAGACAAGCAACACATCAATAGAAATATTTAGAGAAGACAAACAACACATCAATAGAAATATTTAGAGAAGACAAACAACACAGCAATAGAAATATTTAGAGAAGACAAACAACACATCAATAGAAATATTTAGAGAAGACAAACAACACATCAATAGAAATATTTAGAGAAGACAAACAACACATCAATAGAAATATTTAGAGAAGACAAACAACACATCAATAGAAATATTTAGAGAAGACAAACAACAACAACAACACATCAATAGAAATATTTAGAGAAGACAAACAACACATCAACAGAAATATTTAGAAAAGACAAACAACACATCAATAGAAATATTTAGAGAAGACAAACAACACATCAATAGAAATATTTAGAGAAGACAAACAACACATCAATAGAAATATTTAGAGAAGACAAACAACAACAACACATCAATAGAAATATTTAGAGAAGACAAACAACACAGCAATAGAAATATTTAGAGAAGACAAAAAACACATCAATATAAATATTTAGAGAAGACAAACAACACATCAATAGAAATATTTAGAGAAGACAAACAACACAGCAATAGAAATATTTAGAGAAGACAAACAACACATCAATATAAATATTTAGAGAAGACAAACAACACATCAATAGAAATATTTAGAGAAGACAAACAACACAGCAATAGAAATATTTAGAGAAGACAAACAACACATCAATAGAAATATTTAGAGAAGACAAACAACACATCAATAGAAATAATTAGAGAAGACAAACAACACAGCAATAGAAATATTTAGAGAAGACAAACAACAACAACAACACATCAATAGAAATATTTAGAGAAGACAAACAACACATCAATAGAAATATTTAGAGAAGACAAACAACACATCAATAGAAATATTTAGAGAAGACAAACAACACATCAATAGAAATATTTAGAGAAGACAAACAACAACAACAACACACCAATAGAAATATTTAGAGACGACAAACATTACATCAATAGAAATATTTAGAGAAGACAAATAACACAGCAATAGAAATATTTAGAAAAGACAAACAACACATCAATAGAAATATTTAGAAAAGACAAACAACACATCAATAGAAATATTTAGAGAAGACAACACATCAATAGAAATATTTAGAGAAGACAAACAACACAGCAATAGAAATATTTAGAGAAGACAAACAACAACAACAACAACACGTCAATAGAAATATTTAGAGAAGACAAACAACACAGCAATAGAAATATTTAGAGAAGACAAACAACACATCAATATAAATATTTAGAGAAGACAAACAACACATCAATAGAAATATTTAGAGAAGACAAACAACACAGCAATAGAAATATTTAGAGAAGACAAACAACACATCAATATAAATATTTAGAGAAGACAAACAACACATCAATAGAAATAATTAGAGAAGACAAACAACACAGCAATAGAAATATTTAGAGAAGACAAACAACAACAACAACACATCAATAGAAATATTTAGAGAAGACAAACAACACATCAATAGAAATATTTAGAGAAGACAAACAACACATCAATAGAAATATTTAGAGAAGACAAACAACACATCAATAGTAATATTTAGAGAAGACAAACAACACATCAATAGAAATATTTAGAGAAGACAAACAACAACAACACATCAATAGAAATATTTAGAGACGACAAACATTACATCAATAGAAATATTTAGAGAAGACAAATAACACAGCAATAGAAATATTTAGAAAAGACAAACAACACATCAATAGAAATATTTAGAAAAGACAAACAACACATCAATAGAAATATTTAGAGAAGACAAACAACAACAACACATCAATAGAAATATTTAGAGACGACAAACATTACATCAATAGAAATATTTAGAGAAGACAAATAACACAGCAATAGAAATATTTAGAAAAGACAAACAACACATCAATAGAAATATTTAGAAAAGACAAACAACACATCAATAGAAATATTTAGAGAAGACAAACAACACATCAATAGAAATATTTAGAGAAGACAAACAACACAACAATAGAAATATTTAGAGAAGACAAAACCTAACGAGCCTGGCTAAAAAATCTTGCGATGTACGGCAAGAACCGCCATGTTGGTGTACTTGAAAATTTTTTTTGAATACACCATACACTGAGACCTTTTAGACTTAATCCCGACAGAATGAGGGGATAGCATTGATGTTTAGATATTTCTTTAATATAATAGGCAATCAATCTTCCAATTTTTGTATTCCTATCTTTACCTATCTTTTACTTCATAGTGATACAAGATTTTTTTTATTAATAATTTAGTCTTCTTTCTAATGTTTGATGCATTAACTTTGGGATATTTTTTAAAATTTCTAATATTCATTGCACTTGTGCTTTGTAATTAAATTAAGTCAATATTCTATTAAACCTAGCGATGACAGTTTTAAGCTTTTAATTAGACTCAAAGACAAAAATTTAATTAATGAGGTTAAGAGGGTCGAAACTAATGTGATATAGTATTGGTATTTTTTTAAAGCGAG